AAAAAAAAAATTCCTCAGGTGATGCACAACACAAGTACAAAACACACAGTGAGTGTGTAGTATAATCTCTGATGGGCCTAATCACTGAAATTGTATTTAAATCTTCAACCTAAAAGAGTATATACATAATTTATGATATTAAATATTTAATATTATGATTAGCAACTTATATTGGAATGACTGTTGGAATAGTTGAAATAAAATGCAATAATTTTAGAAATGTATCTGATAAAGTTCAAGACTTTTAACGATACAAAACGATGAAGAATATTGGTTTTGAATCAAATGTCTAACAGTATTACAGTTTCCCTGTATGCTGGATTTGGTGCTAATGTTGACACAGTAAACACTATGGGGCAGTATTATCATTATTTACAAAGAACGCTATGAGAAAAGTCTGTGAGAAAATACTGTACAACTCACTCACTCTATGACTTCAGTAAAACTGTTGACCTCATGGGCTTAACAGCTAGTTTTAAATCTAACAAAATGCAGCACACAGTTCATAAAACCATTAGCATATTAGCATGCTAATGTCAGCATTTAGTTCAAATTGGATCTCACATATTTGTTAATCAAAAACTTTGTGGTATTGGTAGAAACCAGTTTTTGTAGATATTTCTGAGAACATGTTGGAATATTGGGTTTGTTCCTGGCAGGGAAAACTGACAAATCCCTCTGCCAGTGTCCACCAAGTTGGAAAACAACTTGGAAAATCTGCAAAAAATTTTGTTACTCAGGCTACTGCAGTCCCAAGAACTGACTAATCAGTCACAGAAACATGACACGAGAAAGGAAAGCTTGGCTCGTAATAAAAAAAGAGAGAGATTTGAGCACTGCTCTAAATCAGGGGTGTCAAATTAAGGCCCTGGGGCCAGAATTTCACAAAACCTTTTACGTTTTCCAAAGATTCCAATCACTGCACGACTTTCAGAAAATGTGAAAGAGGACATAAATTTTACACTTTTTACAATTGTATTTTCATATTATGTACGTTTCACATATTTCATTTTCCCCACCGATAAAGACCTACCACATAGATCTTGTTTTTTCACTATCTACTGTAAAAAATAAATAAAATAAAAGTTTTTTTAAGGTGGGTTCACAGCAAAAACATCAAAACAAAACAAAAAAGAAAAAATATTCCTCATTCACTGGTCTGACGCACTTAAGATTAAAGTGGGCTGTATTTGGCCCACAATGTAAAATGAGTTTAACAGCCATGTTAACAAATGCTTTTTACACCAGTTTGTTAACATTTGACTTTATAATCTTGTATCAGGTTTTAGCAAGTATTTGCCATCCTCATATAGGGACCTACTAGTTATAACAATGATTTATTACCCTTACAGTTGAGTAAATAACAATTCATTCATACAAATAATCTTTGTAAATATGTAAATATGTTCTGTGTCCTGTGTACAGTTTGTTTGTATATGTATTTTTCTTGCTGCTGTTACAACCAAATTTCCCCTTGTGGGACAATTAAATTATTATTCTATTCTATTCTATTCTATTCTAAAATCCATGCTGTTTCCACATTTTGATTAAAAAACCAAACCAGAAAAAAAGAGATATGACACCACCTGAAGAGCATAATTTAACCTATTTGTGTTTAAAAAGCTGCTTTTGTTCTGGGTTTAAACGTGCTGAAAGGTAAATGAAGCATCTAACGCTGTTGGACCCCTGCCTACAGGCTGTCGGACAACCTCCCACTCAGTCAACTCCTACTCCTAACTGAAACTGTGAATGAAACTGCAGATGGAAGCTGACTGTCACAATGACCTGATTTCAGCTGATTAAAAAAAACTAACCAATTTACTTTCTTTGACTGAAAACAGAAGTTATCTATCCTAGTTACAGCAGAACAAAGGTTTTTGTTAGGGCAGAAATGTATTATTATATTCATTAGAAATAAATCTACAGACTATTTTCTAAGATAATTAACAGATTTCTCTGTAAATTGACAGAAAATTAAGTAAATGCCTGTTATATCTAATTTTCCTCAGTTCAACCCCCAAAATATAGCTTAGGATCATAAACAGAGGCACTAAGTATTCTCAAGTATAAAGATGAAATAGCTCGTTTAGCCTAAACAGTTATTTGCATATAAAACATTGATTAACTGATTAATCGTTGTGGTTCTACATTATTCAAAACAGACAAGAGCAGCTCATTCATTTGCTTTTTGAGTGAAAACCAACTGAAAGTATTATTGCCTTATCATATAATCACTGCAGCTCTGATAGATAGAAACTCCATAATGCAGAAATAGAAATTCTCTGACTTTTAACCTGTGAATTTTGGACAATACTGCATAAAAAACATTATTTACAAGTCATGAGACACAATAATGATTCTGTTTTCAATTTTGGATCAATCAGATGATCAGTGGAGCACGCAGGAGCTTTAAACAGTGGATTTGGGAGATTTCTGTTAGAAAATGGACTTGGAAAATGGACCGATATCATAATCAATCACTCAATATCAGTCTAGCTACTGATTAGTTTGCTCACCTCATGGCCACATTGCTGCCGTCTATAACGACGGGTCTCAGAGTCTTTTCTTCCTCGCCAGTCTCCTCTTTGCTCTGAGGAGAAGTACCAGCTACAGGCAGCAGCAGTGTAGGGCCCGATGGCTGGGTTTCTCCTCTGGGCACCAGCACCGACATTGTGGTCACCGGCCCCTGATTGGCCTCCTGAACGGGCCCGATCCGAACCAGCTCCCCCAGCACTTTATCCGTGTCCATGTTGGGGCCGAACTTCTGCTGAACAGCCTGTACCTGAGCCGTGGAGTAGCCCAGCTTGTGGAAGAAGTCCAGCTTGGACTCCAAGAGCTGCGGGTCCGTGTTCGGGTCAGGTTCACCTGGGTACATGGTCTCACAGAAAGGATGGCAAGAGTCGTGAAGTGGGAGCAGTGAAGGAGAGACCCATGCAGAGGTGTGGGAGTGTGTGTGGCGGTGTGGCTCTGAAATGAGGGTTTTACTCCACGTCTGCACAGCTGGGCAGAGTAAAACATCAGTATTCATCTCTTCTCAGTGGGTGAAGCCCACTCATGTCACACCTATTTGGAAAACAGATTAGTCAGCTCATTGATCAACAGAAACCGGAGCCCTGTAAATACACACAATCAGCAAAATGTGTGAACCAGTTAAACATTAGCATTATTATTATTTGGGTATCAGTAATAAATTCAATATCAGTATCATAACTGAGTATCCATGAAAGCAGAGCTTAGAAGTTGCTGTAAGAAAGTTCAGTATAGCTAAATTTAATGTGTAACTATTTACTACAGTTATGGATTAAAAGCATAATATATTATAACATAATATCATATAATATAATGATTTAAACAACAGTAAACATTTCCTTTATTGTAGGCAATTAACAGTTAACAAACTGTTTAGCTTCTTCTCTTATTCCTGTAAATATTTTGTGCTAATGAGGTGAATTTCAGTTGTGATCGTTTTTTAAACTATTAACACTTTAACCTTACATTTCCCTTTATCTCAGACTGACTTTATTTGTATTTGAACTACTTTTTGTGTTCTTATTAAAGATGTTCTTAGACTAATCCTGTGTTTTGTTGCTGTTGTTTTTGAATGACTTCGTCATATTATGACACTAAATTTACAGCTGGGTGAATCTCAAAAAAAGTTACTTTACAATTTGAGGTAAAACAAAGAAAAGCAGCACTTCTACCACACGTTTGGCATTCCTGCTGGAAATGTCTATCTGCCGGTGCAGAAAAGATGAGAACATAGAGGCCAAAAAACTTAAAGTCGTCGTGCTTTTATTTTAGTTTTCCTTTTTCACTTTTTCACAAGTTCACAGAAAGAAACTTACCGGTGTATTAAAATGTGCCAAACGCGTCTTTTATCCCTCTCGGGTTGTCAGCAGCTGTCGCGGCTGATGCGAAGCTTTCTCTGTTTGAGTAGTGAGTCGATACAAGGAAGTTGGGCTTTTTCTTTTCTTGACACAGCAAACAGCCAGCAGACGACCAGCGTGCCGGAGTCACATGCTGGGAAGTTACGACTCAGCGAGTTACGACCTGACGAAATGTGACTCCATCCGTGTTCGTCTGATTAATTATGCAAGAGCAAACCAGGAAATACAGGTAATAAGCACATTAACCTGCCAGGCCAGTGTGCAAGAAATAGAGTATTAAAACATATTACCCACTCGGATATTAGTCGTTTCGTAGTAGGTAAGTCAATAAATACGCGGAGTTTTCCTAATAGGCTATATTACATGTAGCCCCCGTTTAGTTGTGCTAAGGCAGTGCCCAAAAGATCCACTAGAGGGCCTCAGGGACACACCTGTGTGCCAGTCGCCATGTGACAAAAATAAGTTTGTGGGCATATTTGTCGACTTAATTATAGATTAATAAGTATCCCCTATGAAAACCTAACAATACTTTTTGTGAACATACTGTATATACTCACTATCCACTTTATTAGGTACACCTGGCTAATACCAGGTTGGACACCCTTTCACCTTCAGAATTGCCTTAATTCATATAGATTCAACAAGGTGCTGGAAATATTCGTCAGAGATTTTGGTCCATATTGACATAATAGTGTGACACAGTTGCTACAGATTTGTCAGCTGCACATGTGAAGCCCCCATCCACCACCACTGCGACCTCCAAAGGTCCAAAGGTGCTGTATTGAATTGGGGACTGTGTTTTATTTTATTTTTTTTAATGTATGTATATATTCATTTATTTATTTATTTTGAGTGCAGTTGTTATATTAAAGACACCACTTTGAGATGATTGTGAAATAGTGTGTTATGCATCAGAATATGTGTCTGCTGTGGTCATAAAGTGATGGAAATGGGTAACAACCTTAGGTAGGCTGTAACGCGAAGACAAGGACACAACATCACAACAGAAATTGAGACTCATTAGAACAGGCAATGTTTTTCCAGTCTTCTACTGTCCAGTTTTGGTAAGCCCATGCAAATTGCAACGTCATGGATATTTTACCTTTCTCACATCATTCTCTTTAAACCCCTGAGTGATGGCTGAGTGGGAAAATCCCAGCAGATCAGCAGATTCAGAATTACTCAGACCAGCCTGTAAAGCACCAATGTTCAAAGTCACTTAAATCACATTTTGTCCCCATTATTGTCTGCATGTCTGAATATGACTAATTACTTAGTTATGTTAGCAAAACAGTTTGACCTAAAAAGTGGCCAGTGATTATATGTTGTTAACGGTTATCTCCAAAAGTTGATTCTGTTCATCTGGACGTAGCGTTTTGTGGGAGAAACGTTTCGTCACTCATCCAAGTGACTTCTTCAGTCTCAGCTGACTGCAGGTTTCCCCAAATCTTATAAACAGTACATTTGCATAATGACTGATACCAGCCCTCATAATTAATTCAATTATTTGTATTTTTGATAAGTTGCCTATACGGTAATTAAGAGACTGATGATATTTCAATACTGAAACAATAATAACTCTAATAATTACCCTTTTATAGGTCAGTTAAGGAATTGTTGTATAATCCCTAAAAGAATAATCATTCAAACAAGCAACCAGAGCAGCAAAACTTATAAAAGAGTTGAAATAATATGGATAATACTTTATTTTAAGTAGTCTACCATTTGTCCCACTTTAATTACATTTAAATAAAAGAAAGAGGAAAAAAGGTTTGTTATGTGTTTTTGAATTATAATTTCACATTTCCAAAACTTTTGTTAGATAAAGCGATTACATTGGAAAACAAAACAATTTTATCGTAAATTGTAATTTATTTTTTATAACACAACACAATCAGACATTTTCACTTTCTAGGATTTTGGAGGGTGATTGATTTACTTGATCATATTCATTATCATCACCATCATTTAACCTCTGTAACACTTGCGCCTTACCCATGGTCTATGTAGCTTGTGCACTTTTTTGCGCAGCATGTTAGGGAAACTAGCAGGATGTATCTCAAGTACTGGTCCAGGTGGAACATCATGATCAGGTTGAGGAAGAACAGAATACTGTGTTGGGGACTTATTTCCTGGTCCTATTTCATAAGGGTGTAGGAAATCTGTTATAAATGTTGGTGACTTAGGTACAGTTGTGGGTTCTGCTGTTAGTATCGCAAGAGGTGGCAATTTAGATGTAGGCTCCCCAGACTTTGGTAATTTCGGTGGAAGTACTGATAAAGGTGGAGTGGATGGTTCAGTGACAACTTCAGAAGTAACCACTGATTCAGGTGGAGTGGATGGTTCAATGACTGGTTCTGAAGTAACCATTGATTCAGATGGACTGGTTTGCACAGTAACTGGTTTAGTTTCAACCGGTGTTTCAGATGTGGTTGTTGGTTCA